TTCTCCTTCCCTCTGTCTCTCTTCTTATGTCTTTCTCTCTCTGTCTCTCTTCTTATCTGTCTCTGTCTCTGTATCTGTCTGTCTCTGTCTCTGCATCTGTCTCTGTCTTTGTCTGTTTCTATCTCTGCTGTCTCCTTTTCACAGTCTCCTTTTGTCTGCTGCTGTCTCCTTTTGCTGTCTCCCTTTGTTTGCTGCTGTCTCCGTTTACTGTCTCCTTTTGTCTGCTCCTGTTTGTTCTCTGCCTACAGGCCTGGTCACTCGCAGTCGAAGTACGAGGCGAAGTCGTAAGCTGCTGCTGCTGTTGCTGCTGCTGCTGTTGCTGCTGCTGCTGCTGCTGTTGCTGCTGCTGTTGCTGCTGCTGCTGTTGCTGCGGCTGTTGCCGTGCAGGCAAATACACACCCAGACTAAGCATAGTAAATAAAATAAATAAACAAATACATAAACAATTAAATATATATATATATATATATGTATATTTTTTTTTAATGAAGATTTCTTTATAATATATACAATATATGTTATATATATAATAAGATATAGATGCATATACATATATATATATATATATTTATATATTTATATTTATACTTATAATATAATTTGTTATTGCGTGTGTGCAGAACCGCGAGGCTTTGATCGAGTTGTTGGTTGCAGCCGTCTCTGACGCCTGCAACGCCGCAGAACATTCTCAAGGAGGCAGTGAGTTACAGCTAGCCACCCTCAGCTAGCTAGCTAGCTAGCTAGCTAGCTAGCTAGCTAGCTCTCGTCTAGTTAGTCGTCCTGCAGTGCACCAGCCCTAAGGAATCCCGGGAGTCTGCTAGCTAGCTAGCTAACTAACTAGGTAGCTAGCTAGCTAGCTAGCTACCTAGATAAGTAAATAGCTCCCAAGCTAGCTAGCTAAGTAACTAGCTATGTGGCTAGCTAGCTAGCTAGCTAAGTAACTACTAATGTAGCTAGCTAGCTAGCTATGTATATGTCTGGATAGGGGCTCTAATGGGTGAGTGTTGTGTGCATGCGCTGGGGTGTATGCGCAGCTTTCGCAGACGACGTAACTGTTGATCACGGGCTTGTCGAAGTTGCAGTAGAGTGTATAGTGAGGCCAGCAGCAGCAGGCAGTGAAGCAATAGCAGAAGAGATAATAAAAGAAGAAGAGAAAGAAGAAGCAAGAAAAGCAGAAACAGAGATAGGCTCAATCCTTAACCTACCCTGGAGATCGCAGCAACAGCCACTACAGCCACAGCTGCCGCAGCAGCAGCCGCAGCAGCCGCCGCTGCAGCAACCGGGGCAGCAGCAGCAACTGGAACCAGAGCAGGAGCAACTACTGCAGCAGCTGCAGCAGCAACGCCTTCGTGCTGCTTCAAAGCTCAGACGTAATGCTGCTGCTATTCTCCTATCTGCCGGCAACAAAGCTACGCCTTTCGGTGAAGTTAATAGAAGCGATGATGTGCTGCTGCAGGGCCTCCTCAAGTTTGTTGATCAGTTCTCTAAACCCCAAACCCTAAACCCTAAACCCTAAACCCTAAAGCTTAAAGCGTTAACAACCCCAAACAGCACTCAACAACAGCACTCAAACGTCATCAACGACCCTATGTAATAAGCCCATCAAAACCCTAAACCCTAAACCCTAAACCCTACAACACACACTTCTATGTATTCGTAAGACTGCAGCGCACGAATAACTTACCAGCTGGACCCAGCTCGCTACACAGCTAGCTAGCTTGCTAATTAGCTAGCTAGCTGCTATACAGCTAGCCGCTAGCTAGCTATACAGCTAGCCGCTAGCTAGCTATACAGCTAGCCAACTGTGCAGCTAGCTAGCCGCCCTGCTAGGTAGCCCCGGCCCCAACTCGTTTTTGAAGTTCCGCAGCGCAGTTCTCTCCCGTTGAACCCAGCAGCTAGCTAGCTAGCTGGCTACCTACTTCTGAGCTAGCTACCTATCCAGCTTATTCTTATTACGGCTAGCTAGCTAGCTAGCTGAAGAGTTCGAGACTAACGCACTAAGAAAAACAAAAAGAAGGCGAACCTTGTGTAGTGTCCACACGTTCAGTCTGTTCCCTGCCAGTTAGCTGGCTAGCTGGCTAGCTAGCTAGCCAGCCATTCAGATAGCTGAAGGGAACGAGCGAAAACCTGTGTAGCTAGCCGGCTCGTGGGGTCCCTGCGCGTCACCACGCGCAGCGAGTCAACAATAGAGAGTGGCTAGCTGGTATGCTAGCTGGTAAGCTTGCTAGCTAGCTAGCTAGTTAGCTGCGTGTGGTCCATTCGTGCCTTCCGACTCTTTGGGCAAAGCAGCCAGCCAATGAGGCGTCATGCGCCAGCAGCTAGCTAGCTAGCTAGCTATCTGGCTTGCTGGCTAGCTAGCTAGCTAGCTAGCTAGCGGGCTGCTTAGCTAGCCAGGGAAACTAAAGAGTCGATCAATGGGAGGGAGGAGCAGCCCGCAGCTGCGGCAGCAGGCCAAGCAGCAGCAAGGAGGAGTAATAATAATACAAAGAAAACACTCCCCGCAACTGCTGCCGCTGCTGCTGCTGCTGCTGCAGCCGCAATAGCTGCAGTTGCTGCTGCAGCAGCTTGTTGTGTGCCGGGGTCATACACCAAGCCCCAACGTCTCCGTCCCTCTGCTTAAACGGATGAACACGTTTTCTGCTTCTGCTTCTGCTGCTGCTGCTGCTGCAGCAGCTCCCGCGTTGCCACCAGGCAGGCAAGGGCCCCCTATTAAGACCCCAGCCGCAGGCTGCAGCAACGCATTAGCAGCAGCAGCTGCTGCTGCTGCTGCTTCATTACAGCTACAAAAAGTTAAAATGCTAACCTGGCGGATTAGCTAGCAAAGATCCAAACCGAGTCGCCGCAGCAGCAAATTCTCCTGCTGCTGTTGCTGCTGCTGTTGCTGCTGCAGCAGCAGCTACTCGTGCTGCCTGCTGCTTTTGCAGCAGCTACTGTTGCTAAGAAAAATGAAAATATAACCTCAAAGTATATATATGCAGCAGCCACCCGCTGCTGCAGGAGCCGCGCTGCTGTTGCCGCGTCGCTGCTGCTGCTGCTGGTTTGTTGCTGCTGCTGCGTTCCTGCTGCTGTTGCTGCAGCAAGCATCTCTCTCTTTCTCCGCCGCCAGATGCAGCAGAGCATATTTTCAGTCCCCGTAAGCTGCTGCAAGCGCTACCCAACGCCAGTATTGAGCCCTGCTGCAGCAGCAAGGACAGCAGCAGCAAGATTAGCTACATGAGGGGGAGAGCAAGTAGGGTGTCTCCTTCCTGCAGCAGCTTCTCCTTGCTGCAGCTGTAGCTGTCTCTTTTCTGCATGCAATCTGCATGCAACGGCCATACGCCTGGCTGTATCATTGCCGTAGATATTAATACTGAATGTGCGCTTCCTTCTCTTCCTGCTGCTGCTGCTGCTGCTGCTGCTGCTGCTGCTGCTGCTCTCCGTCATAGGCAGCGTCCACTGAGCACTCCAGGTATTATCTGAAGGGTTAAAACATACCCCCGGTACTTTAGCAGGAAGCGGAAGCTGCTTCTCTTCAACTTGTACAAGGATATCATCGATAAGAGGGAGATAAGCAACTGCTGCTGCTGCTGCTGTTGCTGCAGCAGAAGAAGCAAAACTGCCTCCGCAGCCTCCACCGCTAGAAGAACCGCCACCACAGCCAACGCCTCCGTTTCCGGTGCTGCTTCTGCTGCTGCTGCTGCTGCTGCTGCTGCTGCTGCTGCTCCCAGCACCGCCGTTGCTGCGAAGAGACACGTCAGAAGCTGTTGGAGATATACACCCCAACCCGACGCTCACGTTGCTGCTGCTCCTGCAGTACGGACTACCAGATCCCCCTCCTGCTGCTGCTCCTGCTGCTGCTGCTGCTGCTGCTCCTGCTGCAGCTGCTCCTGCTGCTGAGCCCGCGCTGCTGACGCCTGAAAGCCCCGATCGGCTGCTGCACTGCGGCAGCGTTATTCGCTGCTGCGGCTGCAGCAGCTGCTGCTGCTGTTGCAGCAACTGCTGCTGTTGCAGCTGTTGCACAGACGTCTGCTGCTGCGGCTGCGGAGACAGCTGCCTACTGTTGTTGCTAGGACGCAGCTCCAGAAGGCTCGTGAGGGGCTGTCCAGATAGAGCAGCAGCAGCAGCTGCTGCTGCTGCTGCAGCAGGAGGCTGAAACCCCTCATCTCTACAGCCTGCAGCAGCGCCGCCTGTTTGGTTGGCTAGCAACAACTGCTGCTGCAGCTCGTGCTGCTGTTGCAGCTGCTGCTGCAGTTGCTGCTGCAGCTGCTGCTGTAGCTCCTGCTGCTGCTCGTGTTGCAGCTCCTGCTGCTGCTGCTGCTGCTGCTTAGCCGTATCTTCCCCCAGCAAACCCCCAAATACAGGAGACACACCGCTGCTGCTGCTGCAGTCTGTGCTGAGCCCTGCCTTTTCTAAGAGGCGTAGTTGCTGCTGATGCAGCTCTTCATCGTGGGTTTGCTGCTGCTGCTGCTGCTGCTGTTGCTGCTGCTGCTGGTCTGTAAGCTGCCGCTGCAGCTGCTGCAGCACAGCCTCTGAAGACATATCATCACTAGGCGTACGCCTCAAGAAGGCTGGAGGAGAACCTGCTGCTTCTTGCTGCAGCTGCTGCACCCACATGTCTCCTGTCTCTGTGTCTCTATCTTCTGCTGCTGCTACTCTCGAGGAGAGAGCAGCAGACAGAGCATCAATGCCAGCCCCTGGTGTTGCTTCTGCTGATTGCTGCCGCAGCTGCAGCAGCAGCACTTCAAGGCTGTTCTGTCGGCTTGTGCTGCTGCTGCTGCTGCTGCTGTCCCCCGCAAATGATAAAACAGACTGAATAGAACGAGATCGCTGGGGCAGCAGCTGCTGACGCAGCTCACCGTAAGGGCTGTTGCTGCTGCCTCCGTTGTTGCTGCTGCTTCCAAGGCCGTCGCCGCTCTGCTGCCGCTGCAGCAGCTGCAGCAGGTCTCTGCTGCTTGAACGCAGCACCTTCTCCTCGATGTTGTTGTCTCCTTTGCTGCTCCAGATGTCTGCGTGTTGCAGCAACAGCCCAGCAGAAGAGAGTCCCCCTGCTGCAGCAGCAGCGGCAGCAGCTGCTGCCGCTGCTGCTGCTGTGTCATTGCTGCGATCTGTCTGCTGCAGCTGCTGCTGCAGGTCTTCCAAGGCTGGCCTTTTGCGCTTGCCTGCGGCAGCAACATCTGCTGCTGCTGCTCCCGTTGCTGCTGCTGCTGCTGCTGCTGCTCGTGGAGGGCTTTGCTGCGGCTTTACAGATATGAAGTCGCTAAAAGCCGCAACATACTCCCCCCACTCTGCTGCCTTCTTGGGTGGCTGCTGCAGCGCTGCAACCCAGGCAGCTTCCTTGTCCTTGTGCTGCTGCTGCTGCGCGTTGCTGCTGCTGCTGCCACTGCCGCAGCTGCTGCTGCCGCTGCTGCTGCCTCTAGGCCCCAAGCTACCCCCCCGCAGCAGCAAACATGAGACAACATGCTGCGGTAAACTGTATACAGCCTGCAGCACTGAGCCCTCAAGTGCTGCAGTCGCTCCAAGTGCTGCCTGCAGCAGCTGATGCTTAGCTAGCCAGCTAGCTAGCTGCTGCCGCAGAGAGGAGACAGCAAACTCAACGGAGACACTGCACAGCGCCAATACACTGCGCGCAGCAAGCGGCAGTGCTGTACTCATCCTGAACACAAACGCAAACCCTAAACCCTAAACCCTAAACCCTAAACCCTAAACCCTAGCGTCAGTTTCATTCGCAATCGCCTACTCCCTAAGCTTTAAACTTTAAACCATCGGAATTACAAACGTCTTCTGCTGTCTGCTAGACCCTAAACCCTAAACCCTAAACCCTAAACCCTAAACCCTAAACCCTAGACCCACCGTCTTTTGTCGTTTCCCTGCCAAGCCCTCAAGGGCAGCAGCTGCCGCAGCAGCAGCTCTGTGTGCTGCAGCACCGTAGATAACCATGAATCAGAAACAGCAGCAAGAAAAGGACTTGCTTCTGCCAGCTGCTGCTGTTGCTGCTGCTGCTGCTGCTGCTGCTGATCATCCCCCTCGCTGCGCGTCTCCTGCAGCAGCAAACGTGCATCTGCAACAGCAGATTCAATCCCCAACTCTTTATAACGAGCGAGAGAGGGTACGACAGCAGGTCTGTACAATTCATAGAGACAAGGCCGCGTTGCTGCTGCTCCTGCTGCTGTTGCTGCTGTGTCTGCTGCTTCTTGCTTCACGCCTGCACTCGAGGAGGAGGCCTCCTTGCTGTTGTTGCTGCTGTTGCTGTTGTTGCCTGCAGCGCCGGAAGAGGAGTCCCCCGCAGCAGCCAGCTGCTGCTGCAGAGCGTGCGCAGCAGCAGCAGCAGCAACGTTGCTGCTGCTGCCGCCGTAAGCAGCAAGAGGTGCCAGGCCCCCAGCAACAGCAGCAGCAGGAGACACCCTATAAGATGGGAAGTGAAGAGCATTTTGCTGCGCTCCTTGATGGCTAAAGCGAGAGGGTAAAAGAGAGAAGAGAGAGACAGACAGATGCAGCAGCAAACCGTCACGCAGCAAAACCTCTTGATCCTGCTGCTGCTGCTGCAGCTGCTGCAGTTGCCGCTCAAGTTTACTGCACCACAATACGCGCTGCTGCAGCGAAGCTAAGAAGTCTGACACAGTCATATCATCAAGAAAACACTCGAGGCTTCTGCTGTTGCCGCTGTTGCTGCTGCTGCTGTTGCTGTTGCTGCTGCTGCATAGAGCAGCAGCAGCAGCAGCAGTGCTGACGTCTGGAGGCAGCAGATCAGGCAGCTTCTCTGCACCCCACATTCGAGCCTCGCGTAGAGCACCCGCGGGGGCCCCCATCAAACTGTATTGAAAAGAAGATAGTTCTGCTTGAGCCTTCTGACGCTGCAGCAGCTCCTTCTGCTGCTGCAGCAACTCCTGCCGCTGCTGCTGCTGCTCCTGCGGCTGCTGCTCGTCGCCATTCGGCTGCCGGTTTACTGCTGAGGCCGAAGGCTGCTCCTGCAGCAGCGGGGACTGCAGCAGCTGCTGCAGCGGCTGGCTCAGCAGCTGCTCCATAGCTGTACAAAGGGGTGACTGCTGCTGCTGCTGCTGCTGCTGTTACTGCTGTTGCAACAAGTTTGAATTCTAGCTGCTGCTGCAAAGCTAGAGGGTAGGCGAGGAGAAGAGTCGCTGCTGGGGCCCTCAGTGCCTGTTCATTGATGCCCCCCTTGCCTGCGCTGCTGCTGCTGTTGCTGCTGCTGCTGCTGCTGCTGCGTATGCTGCTGCTTTTCCTGCTGCAGAGCACTAAGACCCACTCAAAAGTAGAGAAAACAACGGCTTAAGACACCGAAAAGCATTCATTGCAGCTGGCGCTGCAGCAGCAGATGGTGCTGCTGCTGCGGCCGCGGGAGAGGGGGAGGGAGCAGCAGCAGCAGCTGCAGCTGCTGCTGCTGCAAAAGGGTTGTTTAAAGCAGCAGAACTTAGACTGAAAGCAGAAGCAAATGATTCTTCACAACTTAAATAAATAAACGTGCTGCTTCTTGCTGCAGCAGCAAAAGCAGACCCCAAGGCCCCG